AACATGGGAAGTGAGATACTCAGCAGACTCATAGAATGGCGGATGTCCTAAATAGCACTCTGGCCTCAGAATCAGCCCTAAAGGCATTCGGAGCTGGCTGAAAAGCCCATGAGAGTATTTCAGGCATGGAAAGCCAAGACACTCTGGCAAAAGATCTCTGCAAGTGAGATCCCAGGGAAAGAACAGGTCTTCAAAGAAGGAGGTACCTTTCTCTGAAGGGAGGAGAGAACCTCCACTTTGACTATGACCTTGTCTTAACAAGATAAGAATCGGAGAACTCAGAGGGCTTCCATAGCCTTGGAAACTCATGACTGGAGCATAGGGAGACTACTGATGCCATAGACAGGAGTGTCAATTGGTAAAGTCAACAACAGGAGTCACTGTGCACTTACTCCTCATGTAGGATCTCTGTCCTTAATGTGCTGTGTATTGAGATTTAATGCTATAACGAGTACTCAAACAATATATTTCACTTTGTGTTTCTATGGGGGTGCAAACTGTTGAAATCTTTACTTAATGCATACTAAACTGATCCTCTGCAAAAAAAAAAAAAAGAAAAAAAGAAATTATCAACTCCCAACTTGATGCTCACTGGGATTAAACATGACAATAGGTCTGATCTGATTTCATCATCATTTAAAAAAAATCATCTATTATTTTTCACTTTATGTTCCTGTGTGGGAGCAAACTGTTGAAATCCTTACTTAATGTATACTAAGCTGATCTTCTGTATATTAAGATAATCGAAAATGAATCTTGATGTGAATGGAAGGGGAGAGGGAGTGGGAAAGGGGAGGGTAGTGGGTGGGAGGGACGGTATGTGGGGGAAGCCATTGTAATCCATAAATCGTACTTTGGAAATTTATATTCATTAAATAAAAGTTAAAAAAATATGGAATATAGACACAAACAGTTTGTTTATTTATTTTTTTGACAGGCAGAGTTAGACAGTGAGAGAGAGAGACAGACAGAAAGGTCTTCCTTCCATTGGTTCACCCCCAAATGGCCACTATGGCCAGTGCACTGCGCTGATCCGAATCCAGGAGCCAGGTGCTTCTCCGGGTCTCCCAAGCAGGTGCAGGGCCCAAGCATTTGGACCATCCTCCACTGCACTCCCGGGCCACAGCAAAGTGCTGGACTGGAAGAGAAGCAACCGGGACAGAATCCGGCGAATTCTTCACTCAGAAGAATGCATGTTCTTTTGAAGTGTACCAGAACAATTACCAGGATAGTAAATGTCTTGCCTATAACACAAATATCAATAAATGTCGTTCCCCGTCTTCGTGGAGGAACGACACTAAACCCTGCGCTGTTCTTTCGTCTGCTCGGCCCTCCCCGGGTTTGCTGCTGGTTCTTCCCGGGTTGGCTACTGTCCCTTCCACCTCCGTGGAAGGGCGGTTCCCCCTGGCCACTTTCCCCACTTCCGCAGGGGAGCAGCACACCGCTGGCCGGCTCTCTCGGGGGCTGCACAGGTGTTCTCCTTAGATGTTCCCCTTAGATGTTCCTCTTAGATGTTCCTCTTAGATGTTCCTGGTGCATGCCGTCTCTCTCCTCCTTTATAGTCCTCCTCTGCCAATCCCAACTCGGCTGCCCACACGCCGAGTACGCTGCTCTCCTCCAATCAGGAGCAAGTCCTGCTGTTTATTGGTTGAACTGGAGGCAGCTGGGTAGAAGCTGTTTACTCCTCTCCCAGCGCCATATTGTGGGAGAGCAGATGTATAGAATAAGTCTTAATTCCAGTAACTTAGTCTAGTCCGGGTTGCTCCCCACAAATAAATTCTTTTTTTTTTTTTTGACAGGTAGAGTGGACAGTGAGAGAGAGAGAGAGACAGAGAGAAAGGTCTTCCTTTTCCGTGGGTTCACCCCCAGTGGCTGCTGCGGCCAGCATGCTGCGGCCGGCACAACACGCTGATCCGAAGCCAGAAGCCAGGTGCTTCCTCCTGGTCTCCCATGTGGGTACAGGGGCCCAAGCACTTGCACCATTCTCCACTGCCTTCCCAGGCCACAGCAGAGAGCTGGACTGGAAGAGGGGCAACCGGGACAGAATCTGGTGCCCCAACAGGGACTAGAACCCGGTGTGCCGGCGCTGCAGGCAGAGGATTAGCCTATTGAGCCGCAGTGCAGGCCAATATCAGTAAATTTAAAAGCATTCAAGTCACACCATTTATATTCTGTGATTACAATGTAATTTAAGTAGAAATTAATAGGAAGATGTGTGAAAAATCACTGGAACTGGAAAAATATATACAGTATTTGGGAACTGAAAAGTATGCTTTCCAATTACCCAAGGATCAAAAATTAAATGAGAAATTAATCTGAGCTGGATAAAAATGAAAATACAGCATAGCAGAATTTGTGGGATTCCAGTAAGTTATATTTTGGGGAAAATTCATAACATTAAACAGCTATATTAGAAGAGAAAAAATATCAAATCAATGGTCTAAGAAATTAGAAGTATGAAAACAAATGAAACCTGAATTGGACAGAAGAAAGGGAATGTATGTAAGGTCGGAAATAAATAAATTAGAAAGCAAGCGAGTAGGAATCCATAAAATCTGTTTTTTTGAGAAGCTCAATGAAGCTTCTAAATTCATAGTAAGGCTGATCAAGAGGAGACACAGGAAGGAGTAAGGTGACATCAGTTCAGATCCTACAGATAACACAAAATACTAAGGGACTACTGTAAACAACTACATGTCAATAAATCTAACAATTTGGGTGAACTGAACAAATTCCTTGAAGGACACAAACTACTCAACTTCACTAAAGGAGAAACAGGTAGCAGAATGGCTTGGTATCTATCTTAAAATAGCATTTTATTCAAAAATCTTTCCCATAAAGAACCTACTGGCCTAGGCGATTTCACCAATCAATTTTCTAAAACATTTAAGGGAAAAATAACATCAGTTTTACATGAGCTAAAAAAAAAGAGAAGGAATTATACCCCTATTCAGTTCATGAGGTGGGCATTACTCTATGCCACAGCAGACAAAAATACCGCAGGAAAAGCAAACCACAGACCAACAGGCTTTCTCAGCATAGATGTGGAAGTCGGAGACAAAATTCTAGCAAGTTCAATTCAATAATACATTCAATGGAAAAACAGTGTTATCTCATGAGGCTTATTCTGAAAGTATTCAGATTTCTTTAACATCATTGAGATAAATCATACGATCATCTCAGCAAATGAATAAAAAGGCATTTGACAGAATTCAGTATCCATGCAGAATATGCATTTTGCCAGAGATGAGATGTTCTGGATGCCACTTCTGTCACTCCATGGCCCCTGGTGAAATCCAATTCCTTCCACCTGGGGTCCCAGGCTCACCGGGATGTGTCCTTGAGCCTGCACTTACTACTCTTTCGTATTTCTCTGTGCACTGCTCAGCGTAGCTAAACTGTACAGTTCTTTTAAACTGACCTTAGCTTTTTTGTCATCTTCATTTGGTTTAGGGGGTCCTGTGCCCTAGACTAATTGTTTTGAATCTTGGTTGTGCATTGGAATCACCTCATTATTGAAAAAGAAACTATAGATACCCAAGTCTGCCACTGGACACTGAGTCTCAAGTAGTGTGAGACGGTATCAGGACATGCAAAGCTCCCCAGGTGAAGTAACTGGGTACGCAGGGTTAAAACCAGGGGTCTAAGATATTCTCACAAGCTCCACACTTGCATATCACAAACCCACTTATTCTTCAAAGCTAAGTATGATGACAACTCCTTCACAAAACTGTCCCAGATCAGACGCTGCTGGAAGCTAGGTCTCTCTCCTCTGAATATCTTGGGATGTTACACGCCTTTCTCTGCGTTCTCACGGGCAGGTCTTTCCTGACATGAATGCAAGTTCTTAAACCACATTCTTAAGCTTTTTAAAGAACCATTTGCCCCAAGTATCTCATTTTTTATAATGGTAGGTATTGAATGAACGATTAGAGAAAGTGTTGGACAGTTGGGCTAATACTCCGGCATTCTCCACAGTTAAATAGTAATGGGGCACAAGTGACAGATTTTAAAAAGCATGGCACAGGGGAAAAATTTCCTTCAGATTTGACCATCAATTCTTGCTGACAACTTTCTTTAGTGCTCTCACAAGCCATATAAGCATGCCTTTATTACTCACAGTTTGCAATTTAACCTATTATTCTTATAATAAGTAAAGGATGGCTAAGGCAATGAATAGATGATTCAGTTTTTCTTCAATCCTAATATCAACTTTATTCCTGAATTTTTTTTGCCATAGATACAAACAGCCATAAAATGGATCAGTAAGATAAGATTTTCGTTTCTCTGGGGCCAGCACTCTGGTGTAGAAGGCTAAGCTGCCACCTGCGGAGCCAGCATCCCATATGAGCACTGATTTGAGTGCTGACTGCTCCACTTCTGAACCAGCTCTCGGCTAATGCACCTGGGAGAGCATTAGAAGATGAGCAAAGTGCTTGGGAGCCCTGCATCCACGTTGCAGACCTAGAAGAAGAACTTGGTTCTTGGTTTCAGATCGGCTCAACTCCAGTTGTTGTGGCCATTAGGGGAGTGAACCAGAAGATGAAAGATCTTTCTCTGTCTCTCCCCCTCTCTCTCTGTAACTCTTTCTTTGAAATAAGTAAATAAATAAGTCTTCTCAAAAATGATTTTCATCTATCTACTTTGTCAATAACTTAACGACCTACCCTACTGAAGAAAAAAATATATTAAATTCCTCTAAATGATTCATCGGCAATAAAAAGGAGGTCCTTGAGTAACTGAGTTGATTGTATTTGTAGGGATGATACAGCACAGTTTTATCTGTCATACTTGGATAATTAATATTCCATGTTCATTGTCCTAGAAAACTACAGCAATTGCTTTTAATCACTGAGAACATGAAACAGTTATATTTCAATGGATTGATTAGGATTTTAGATGAAATCATAAATCTATCCACAGACTAGAATTCTATTTTCTATTGATTGTTTGGTTATACTTAAACAGAATATATTAGGAAATTCAAATAGAAGGTGTACCTGGATGTAGATTGGCCAACTTCTTCAAGAATCATAGAAAAGTGTTTGTAAATTTTCTCAGTGTGTCCTGACTGTGAAACAAGTTTCTCTGGATCACCAAACAAAGACAGGAAATAATCGTCTCCTTCCCCAATCATAGACGGCTCAGGGTTGAGGCTCAGTATCTGTTTCTTTGGACCTAAGAAGCAGCTGATTCCTTTCAAAAAATTGAGGGAAGCAAACAAGAACATAATAAATAAAAAGACATTAAAGAACCCAAAGCCTTAATCTTTGTTTCCTGCTTCTACAAAACTATGTTCTTTATATGCTTCACTCTCACTGTCAAACTCAGAACAGTTAGAAGTTGTTTAACCCAGTCTATTAAAAAACCAGTACGTGAATATTTTTAATGACATTCTCAATTTTGAGAGATTACTTCAGCTATTTTAAACTACCAATTATATTAACAGCAGAATGAGAGATTTATGGGGAGCAACTCGGACTAGACTAAGTTACTGGAATTAAGACTTATTCTATGCATCTGCTCTCCCACAATATGGTGCTGGGAGAGGAGTAAACAGCTTCTACACAGCTGCCTCCAGTTCGACCAATAACCTGCAGGAGCTGATCCTGCTCCTGATTGGAGGAGAGCAGCGTACTCGGCGTGTGGGTAGCAGAGTTGGGATTGGTGGAAGGACTATAAAGGAGGAGAGAGACAACACGCACCAGGAACATCTAAGGGGAACATCCGGATAACATCTGAGCAGCCCCCGAGAGAGCCAGCCGGAGGTGTGCCGCTCCCCCGCGGAAGTGGGCAAAGTGGCAGGGGGAGCCGCCCTTCCACGGAGGTGGAAGGATCGGCAGCCAACCCGGGAACGACCAGCAGCAAACCCGGGAAGGGTCAAGCAGACAGAAGAACAGCGCAGGGTCCTGTGTCGTTCCTCCACGAAGAGGGGGAGTGACAGAGATTATCTAGTTGTACTAGAAGCATCATTCATTTTTGAATAGGTAAAACATTTGAGTCTGCTAACTCGGCTTTGTTATAAATAAAAACAGCTTTATTCATTTACATATTTACCATACTCTCCAAATTGTTACTTATTTATTTAAATTTCAAATAAGTCCTTTCTACTAATGGTTAATGCTTTTCCAGTTTATGACTTAAACTTCCTCTATCAACTAATATAGATATTTTATTAGAAAGGTAAAAGAAACATGCTTAATCACTTTTTCTAGGATCTGCTCAGGAAGTTGTTCTTTAAAAATTCTCTCTATAAGATTCAAATACAAAACAAATGCCATGACTGTGCACAGAATTCAGAACAATGCCAGATGAATCTAACGTATTTATAAATAGCTACACTACAAAGATGGCTCAAGGTGAAGTGGAAACACATGTCTAGGATTTAGAAAGACCAACAAAGTTGTCTTTCTAAGCCAAGTGATTTAAACTCCTTGAGTGTGATGGTTTAGTTATCTCCAAAGACTCATGTGTTGAAGATTTTGTCACCAAGGTGGCATTAGAATGTCATGGAACCCTTAGGAGGTGGGGCTTAGTGGGAGGTCCATAGCTGATGGGGGAGTGCCCTTGAAAGGCAGTTCTCACAAGAAGGTTATTGTGAAAGTCTGACTTTGAGCCTAGTCTCTTTTTACATTCCCGGCTCAAGATGTGATCATGTGTTCTTGCCATTGTCTTCTGAGACCAACACTCGAGGCCAAACCCATGGGGTTGCTTGATCTCAGACTTGAGCCTCCAAAATTGTGAGCTAAGCAAATCTCTATTTCATTCACCACTAGCTTGTCTCTGGCATTTCATTGCAGTATGAGAAGATGGCTAATACACCACATTTAAGAAAATTGGAAATAATGAATATAGTGTACTGAGCACAGGGTTTAATATTTAGCCAGTACTCAATCAATGATAGTTATTTCAGTACAAAAGTTTTGGTTAATGTGACTTTGGGTATAAAATCCTCAAAAGATTAAGATAATCTAGAGTGTGCTTTACATTCTTATGAGAATACTTCAAAAAGCTCATGGAAAATAGGATTAAAAGATAAGTTTATTTTGATGCAGTAATTTCTGAAATCCAAATATAGTTTTTTCATAATGCAGATTTTTTTCTGTAAATTTTGGAGACTCCTTGGCCCCATATCTTTTTAAAGAAACAAACCAAGCTGAAAGATACAAAGAACAAAATCATAGTTCTTGGGGCAAGCACTTGACTTGGTGGTTAAGTTAAAAAAAATTCCTACCTCCTATGGTGGAATACCTGGGCTTAATTCTTGGCACCAGCTGCAGATTTTAGCTTTGGTGGTAGTGGCTTAAGTTGCTGGGCCTCTGCCCCCCAAGTTGGAGACATAGATTGAGTTCCTGGCTCCCAGCATCAGTGCAGACCATCCACAGGCATTGTGGGCATTTGGGGAATGAACCAGTGGATGGAAGCTGTCTCTCTTTGCCTCCCCCAACCTTCTCTCTCTTTCTGTCTGACTCTGAAATAATAAATCATTTTTTTAAATCATAGTTTTTAAAGTGTATTGCTCAAACTATTTGTTGAGAGGAAAAAAAAAACCAGTAAAGTAGTTCATTCCCAGACAAGTATTTACTTAATCCTTAAACTCTTTTGTAGGAGGGGAATAGATAGCATGTTTCTTAACAGCTCGACCTGAGGGATGAACACCTTCCAAAGCAAAGCAGTTCAGTCCCCACTGCTTTTCCATCTAAAACAACCAATGGCAGTGAGGCAAGCACAAGATTCAGTGGACCCCGACATGTGTCTCCAGAAGTAGGATTTATAGCAGCTGAAGGAGAAGAATGTACCCTAGGTCAATTCTCATTTTGCAAGGTGGAGCCACTAAATTTTGTTTTCCCTCCATGATTATGAGCTTTTGAAGTTTAACCCAATTACAGAATGTATGCCATGGTGAGATAGTGCCAATGATGGAAAATCTTCCCTCATGGATCTAAAATTTATATTTACATTTTAATCATGTAGGTTTGAGTGATTGCTAAAGGGCAGGGTAAATACAGGGATGAATTTTTGGAAAGCTTCTCTTGGTTATACAATGAAACAAGGATCATGAATATAGAACCAGTAGGACAAAGGCTTACAGAACAGTGTGTCAAAGGTTTAGAAACTACTAGAAGCAACATGAAATATGGATGAAACCCATCAACTTGTAAATGCCCACAAGATGGACATGGAAAATGGGGGTGAGAGATGGTCACCGAAGAGTTTGTGCTGCCAGTTAGGAAACATGTTGACTGACAATCCAAATACAGACCCCGAAGCCTAGTCTTTTCTAGAAGATGGTACTTACACATATGGTGGGATTGACAACAATTTTTTTTAATGAGCGCATACTGTGTGCTAGCCTTTGTGTTGACTGATTTGCATACACATGTTATTTAATCATTAGGCTAGCCCTGTAAAGTTGAGATTTTAATTTTCATTTTTTACATATGCAAACTGAGATCTGGAGCTGTACTCTGATGCCTCACACTGTAGAAGGCAAAATAACTGTACAGTCTGTGTTTCCAGGGGCAATGGTGTTTTACATAAACCATGAAAAAATCACTCTCAAAGTTTCCTAAACATGACAAGGGACAATCACACTATGGTGTGGGCATTGCCAAGTGCATTACTGACTGCATTTGCATACTGTACTACTGCTTTCGTTTTCTTCTCTTGTCAGTTCTCCTTACTGCTTCTGCCTTTTCTCTCTGTCATTTTTTAATCCTACTTTAAGTTTCTTCTTTCTCTTATCTGTCTAGGCCTTACTTGAGCCATAAATCCCCTAAAGACACAGAACACAAAGGATGATGGTAGCATTCAGAGGACGGGTAGCTAGTACTGAACACTGACATTTTTAATTCTCTGCAATCCCAGAGCACATTAGCAGTCAATCCATGAACCATCTTGACAGCTCAAGATACCTCAGTCTTGAGGATGAGATATCTGGGCACCTGAATGCATGTGCATAAAGATCAGTGGTGACCTCAGTCAAGTTCATCGACATAGGACATTTGAAAACTGCCATCATTCTAGAGGATAAGCAAACATCATTCTGGCTATGAGGCACATAGAGCATCTGTTGAAATATTCATATATGTTTTAAAGATAATCTTAAAATATTGACATATATTTTGCTTACCAAAGCTGGTGTCTGCTGGGAAACAGCTCATGGTAGATTTAGAAGCCAGTGGTCCTATCGTTGATATAGTCACTCCACTGATCTGAGAACTGGGCAGATAGTGACTGAGAGGTATTTCACGGGACAAGGACAGTGACAGCGGTGGTGTTATTTCGTCTGAACATGTTGTCTTTGGGAAAAAATGTACCGAAGACTGCTGTTTTGTTGGGGGAGCTTTAAGTTTGTCGTCTCCTCTGTGTAAAAAAATTGTAACAAACACAGTGAGAAAATCAAAATGACTATTAGAAGAAGCATGGACCATCATTATTGTCCAGAATTCTGCTTTACCAAGATCTTATGTGTTTAATACAAACACAACAACATATAACATTTCTAGTTCTAGTAATTGAAATAAAATGCTTTAGCATCACTTCATTGCATGTTTTCATGTTTTCCTATCTGAAAGTAAGAAAAATTCCTACTGTAGATGGTTTTCAAAATGTTTGAAGACAGAAAAAGAAAATCTAAACATCACTTTAACATCATAACTAGAGACTTCACCATTTCCTTCCAGGCTCTATGTATGCATTTTTAACTCAAAGCTGAGACTCTATAAACTATTTATACCTCATTTCTATTATTTATTAAATCATAATTCCCCTTTCCATTAACATTAAAAAGACTAGAATTTCTGTTTAACATACCATTGTTTGTTATACTTTTTCTTTCAATTCTCGTTCATTGTTGCTTAACTAATTTTCCTAACAATTCTATAGTGAATGATTCCTTTCACATGAACTCAGTGTGTGTATGTGTGTGTGTGTGTGTGTGTGTTACAGAGAAGAAAGACAATTTTCAAGGACTATTATCATAAATGAATTTTATAGTATAAATGAAAATTTTCCTTCTTATTAAGATAAAGGCATGTGCTACCTAGACCACAGTCATTTGAACAAGACCCTGAAACTACAGGACAATCATTTTCCAATGTAAGCGACCTTCTCTTGATCTGGCTTGTAGAAAGCATAGGATGATGCACTTAATGAACTACACTGAGAGTCTTCCCAGTGACCTTGACCCAATTCGTGTGTGTGTGTGTGTGTGTGTGTATTTTTGTTTAACAACTGAATTGGGAACATGGTCCTGGAGTCTAAAACCCTTTAGCCTCAACCCACCCCTTTCTGGGTGCCATGTTAGCTAGTGAGGAGCTACCCACACTGGATAATCCGTGGATCATCACTGTTCTGGTCTGCTTCTCAGAGCAGAGCAGAGCTCAGAGCTATCTGAGCCAGTCCCTAGCTGTGTGCTGTGTTTTTGGTTTAACATTTCCATGGGGGAGTGAGGACATGGAGCTTACTCATCTGCAGTCCCACTCTTTGTTTACCAAGAGGTATTCCCTGTCATTTTGTTCTGCAACTTGGAAGCTCCTTCATCAGAAATCTTCTATCCAGAGAGCTTTGTATTCAAAACCAACCTGCTCTAAGTTAACTTCTCAGAAGGCATAGACATGACAGGCCTGGTTTATTAAAAACATTAAATGGCATTGGCTTTGCATGTCACATGATTATGAGCCTAGTAAGCCGGAGCACTCACCATGCAGCTGTCGCCCCAAGCACTATGTTAGTCAGGAAGGCTCTAGCTCATGCTCTACACTCTCCACTATCACACTAAGGTGGTGGGAGGGAGACTACAGAGCCAGATTATCAAATTTCAAACATTTCACCTCTGTCCAACCTGAGGCATGACTCTGACACTGGCTGGAACAAGGAGGGGAAGTGCTCTCTTTTCAACATTCCTCACATCTGGGTTTCATTACACCCCGGCTATATCTTTTCAGCATGTTCACTTTATAACCTCCTGTTTTTTTTTTTTTTCTCCAGTAAAACGATAGCATATTCCAAATAAATCGACTCTCACCAAAGATTCCCAGCAAGCCTTCATAAATGATGTGATTAGAGAAATCTGGCCCAGCGACACAGGGTGTTCTTGTTTTCCTGGCTGAATCAGACTTTTCTAATGGCTGTGCACGTCTGCTGGGCTGAAATACCGCACGGGCAGACGGGAGATGCAGCCATCACCCGGATCCTCACCTCACCTGCCTATTGTCGGAGGGTGAGAGGCTGTGCTCAATGCTTAGTTAGCTCTCCCTTCAGCATTAGGGATTTTCTCGTGATTTTTGTGTCTTCTATAATAGATGAGCACTAAACCAGGGACAATTACAAATGCTCAATGCCAGCATTCTCATGTTACTTTGGAAGCCACTGCATTGGTAACACTGACAACGATCATTTCTCAGAAGATCTCTAAAAACAAATAGAAGAAAATGGACTAGAATTGAACAGCAAATACAGGAAAGCTAGGTCCAAAGTAGCAATAGCATTACACGGTGTATACAGAACACTAAAGTTCATTTTTTTGGGAAAACCAATGTTAATGCTTTAGTTGATACAATGATTTTCATTAGTAGTCAAAGTAGGCAGTTGCAACTTTTACCTAACATTCTCACAGACATTTCCAAAACCAAAAATGTTAGTAATTGTTTGTTTTGGTGCACAGGTTGATAAAGTTGCTCTCAAGAAGTTTTCTGTTCCACAGGAGCATAGACAAGGGCTAAAAGCAGTAAGCAAATCATCAGATGTCAGTTTCATCTTTACACATTGGCAGTTTTTTTTTTTTTTGTATTCTATATTGTCCATACTCCTATGGGACAAGGGTGTTTTTATTTTTTGCTTGTTGATCATTATAGTCAGTGGTGCATTCAGCCTGGGATTATAAATGGAAGCTATGTTATTATAAAAATTAAAGGAAAAAGATAAGAAAGGATGGAAGGAGGGGAGATGGATGGACACAGAGTAGCACACTTTCTTATGTTCTTAGAAATTGTCCATGAAATACATGAAATCTGTTTTCTTTAAATTAATAAAACATTTTAAAAAACAATATCAAAAAAGTTTTCTAACAATTGCCTTAACACGTGAGTGGGAACTTTGGAATCTCAACCAGGTCTCATCTGTCAGGGAGAATTTTCATATTGCTCAAGGACTGGAAACGTATCCAACAATAGGTGGGGGAAATAGTTGTATGTTCTTGTTCATGGTTTCCTAAAAATACACTTGGGGTCTCTTCTATACACTTGGGGTCTCATTCTAACTGCTTCGTGAGCTGTCTCAGCACAAGACGCAGACTCCAGCTTCCTCCCTCTAAAACCAGACCCTCATCTCCTCCCCTGTGTGCCCTTCTTACTGCTCTGGTTTCTTCATTTCTTGCTTGCTGGCATCGCTCTGCAGGGCCGTCGAAGCTTCCTGAATGTCTTGTGTGTCACTCATCTTGGTGAGAAGGGAAGTCTCATTTCCTTCCTAGGAAAATAGATGACATCAAACAATGACATACAGCTGACGTTCAAGGCAGAGTTTTCTTTGACAGTGACCTCACCTGTTAATCCTACTATCTTCAAGCACCTAGCAGATTGAATGATTTCTTCCCCAAGCTGGTGACAGAACTGAAGTTCTCGTGTGAATGTGTAGGTGGTGACATAGCCAATACTGCAACTGGCTAAGGATATCAGACAAACTGTGGAGAAGGTGTGTAACATTCACCGGAAGCGGCTCGAGACACAGGACAGTAACCCAGCCAAGTGAGCTTTATGACAGCAACGTTCATAGCTGGCCCATGCTGCCTCTTAGAACACCATGAGAGAGGTCTCCATGGTTACCAAGTTCCAGTCTCTAAACAATTACTATGTTGATGCTGCACCTGCTTCGTGGTTCCCAGACGTTGAATAATGGCACTTGCTTTGGGGAGAGCTCTATCTCTCAACAGACAGACTTGACATCAAAATGTGTGCTATTTGATTTTTGGATTGGGGATGGTCAATGCCAGTTTGTAAATATTGAGGGGATGAGTCCCAGCTGTTTTTTCTCTCTCTTTCCTCTTCTTTCATTCAACAAATGCTTTGAACACATGGCAACAGCTTGGCAGAATGAGTAGAAAATGATTTTAAGGCAAAAAGAAGCTTAGTGGTAGAAATAATACAACGACAGAAAACCTAAACTCTTCTCCTAGCTATGTCAGAGACATGATTTCAAAGACATCACTTAACTCAGCTTCTCCTCTGAATAAAAGATTCACACATATTTCATGAAAATGATGGTAGGAGAATAAAATTAATATATAAAGGCACACAACTCTACATAGTAATATCATCTGTTAGTGAGGATTACTGAGGAAGGAAGTTCATTCAGCAAATATTGAATGAACATCTACTATATACCAGGAATTGAGTAGGTACTATGAATAAACACTTCCTGCTTGAGGAACATTGTTGAAATATCCTCTAATTTAGACTCAAATATGGCTCCCCTCTTGGGATGATGAGCTGTATTTAAATACAGAGAACAATTAATAAAGTAAATGCTTTAATAACTCAGAAAAAGAAGAATTATATAACTAATAATGCAACTACAGAAAATTTTGGATTATATTTTTTCCATCTCAGACATAAAATACAATTCTTATCAGCATGATAAGCCAATCCTGAAAAGTAGCATTGGGAGATTCATACATTAATACTTATATTTACAAAGGAATTTAAAAGGAATTCATCATTCCTCACCACTATCCAAATTTCTGTACCTATACAAGTACGGAAGGTTTCCTAAGTGTTAACCGTTGTTTTCTAATTGATTTACTATAGTAGAATCAAGTTATTATCATAACAATTATTTTATCAGAGAACCCATTCATATTTTCCAACATGGTTTGGAGAAATAAAATTTTTGTCAACTGAAAAAAAAAAAAAAAACCTTCAAAACCTTTAAATCTGTCCTTGTTCCAATATTCATTCTCCCCACAGGATATTTTCCTTATCTCCATTTTCCAAACTGGAGGTATATATACAACAAAAACCGATTTCCTGTTTCAAAGCTGCTCAAACCAACCCAGTGTTTTTCTCACAGGGGATAAAGTGAACTGCTAGCAGTCAGGGACTTGGGTGGAGCCCTAGTTGCATTTAGTGGACAGGAGCCAGAGGTGCTAGACTTTCCATAATACAGCAGATAATCCTACTTGGCAAAGAATTTTCCCTTATACTGTATAACTTGCCAGACAGTCACACAGGTGGAAAATAGATTACCATTATCTTAGTCTACAGCCTCGCTCCATACACCGTACAATACAAAACAGCAAGGTTCTCAGAAAGTAAGTGTTTACTGTATAAACTGAGGGATGCTTACACATTGATTTGTTCAGACCTTTTCCAAGAATTGCTGATCAGTTTGGGAAAATCACATCAAAGGCAGAACCACTCGGTGGTACACATGTGCTGATCTGATTTACAGGACCTAAGTAGTAACAGTGACAACAGCAACAAAATCTATCTGAATCTGATGAATCCCCTAACTTACCTAAAACACAGAGAACAGAAGAACACATCAACTCGTATGAAGAGATTCTGTCATTTATAGGCATAACACCCTAATCCAAGCAAGCCATACAAAATGCAGAAGACACTGGAAATTTAAGGGTACCGAGTATTTAATAATGTTAGGGGATTATTTTAGTCATGATAGAGTACTATGTGTTTTTAAAAAGGATTTCTTATATTTTAGAGATACACACTGAGAAATTTATAGATAAAGTGGTATGATGTCTAGATTTGCTTCAAATTAACATAGAGGGGGTAGGCATTTGGCATGGTAGTTAAGATGCTTGACTGAGACACTCTCACCCCACACTGAAGTGCCTAAGTTTGAGGCCTGACTCTGACTCCTGTTTCCAGCTTCCTGTCAGTGTACACACTGGTTGGAAGTGGGGACAGTGCAAATACTTGGGAGACCTGGATGGAGTCTCTGGCTCCCAGCTTTGGCCTGGACCTGCCTCAACCTTTGTGGCCATCTGGGGAGTTAATCAGCAGATAAGAGCTCCCTCTCTCTCTCTCTCTCTCTCTCTCTCTCTGGTTCTATTCCTCTCAAGTAAAATGAGAATTGGAAAGAAAGGAGAGAGCAGATGAAAAGGCTGGGCCATGACTTGTCATTGTCTCCAGTGGATACTACAAGGAGATTCACTGTGCATCATGTCTAGTTCCCGTTTGCAGGCAATGTTGGAATTCTCCAGAGTGAGCAGGCTAAAAGAGGGAGGACCACTTGGGCCGTGGAGACTGTGGATGCCGACAGGTACATTACCTCGCTGTCTCCAGCTCAGGATGGCCGGCATCAAGCGGCAGCTGATGGGGAAAGCAGACACACAGCTCTGCGGGACAACACTTCACACAGACACTCTGACCTCGGCTCCCAAGAATGGGGATTTCCCGGTGTCCCCAGCGACGAAGCGGAAATTCAAGGGATGGGAGCTCCTCCAAGACTACATTGCCGGAAAATGGCAGAGCCAGGACTTGGGGCCATGCATTTGTTAGGAAGACCCCTGCACTCTACCCACTGTTTTTGTTTCAATCCCTGTCTGAGGTCTTCCTTACTCTTTCTGGGCAATCGTCTGAACGTGCATCCAGCACCGCGCCAGCTTTCTCCCATCCTCTCTCCCTGTTCCTGTCTCCCATCGCTCTGTCCTCCATCGGAGCTTCCTTGTCCTGTGTCAGTTCTCTCTGGCCCAAACCCTATGGAAAAAATATCCAGGTTCTGCACAGGGAATTGAAGCTCCACAGAGTAGATACAGGGGAAAATAGGGCCATGAAAACTGAATCAGAATCTCATGCTGTGAACTTTTTACCCTGGTTACAAAAAAAATTACAAGTGGCAAAATTCCATGTTCTGCAATCTAAAAACCAGGCAAAATTTTAAATATACACAATTTTGAAAGAGTTGAAAAACACAAAGAACTGGCCTTATACACTCTCGTTCTTGTCTCCACATATGGAGAACATTTGCACAGCAGGGGATTTTATTAAATTGCTAATATAAATAATATGTCTTGCGTGAATGAAGGCTGTATATATAAAGAGAATTTTAGTCCCCCCTCAGGCCATGAGTAATGTGCCGTTGAGGAGTACAATGTAAAACATTATGACATGTTGCATTATCTAAGACTCAAAGAGGCTGAAGTGCGATGCAGCAATATGATTTCATAGCTCCATCTACCCAAAGATAGCAGGAATTCTCACTATAAAGCATCGTGGGAGCCTAAAAACATCCTGGGTCAATTCATTTCTTTCATGCAAATCAAAATGCAAATAACACAACCTCAACCTTAGGGACTACTATTTTCCCTTGAATACAGGGTCACGTTAAGGTCCTACTGGAGGTGTCTAAGGAGAGGAGAAAGGATCATTTGTAGGGAGGCTCAAGTCTCAGACAGTTTGTACAAATAATCTCTACGGGTGTTACCAGATGTTACAAAATTGCATTGCAGAACACCACTGGGAACTTAGATGAGCATTTGTTGCATGTCCAACACCGGTTTGAATCCTCTGACACTCATGTCCTGCCCAGCAGTGGTTCATACATCTCTGTAACCACACAGTTACTGGACTCATAGCTTGCGTGTATTTTAGGTGTAGCCCTTTTTCGTGAATTTTCTCTGTTCGTGAGTTTTAGAGAATATAATACTTACTTTCCTAAGAGAGGGAGCCTCAAATTTATTCAGGGGATAGAGAGAACATTTGCTTTTATTTGTGGACCACTATGCCCTTTGTAGATTTTAAAAAGCATAAACCAATATATTTTCATTTCATCTAGGCAATATTTTTATATACTTTACTAACAAAAATAAATCTACCTTTGTTATTAGCACACCATATAAACTCATAACCACCAGCCTGCAGATCTTAAAATAAAGGAAAACTCCCAAAGATCTGTTGAACCAAGAGCAAATGATTGGTTTTGTGTTTTCCTATGTTTATGAATTTGCAATTTCATTGTCTGCTGTCATCTGCTGGCAACTTCTAGAAGAAAAGTTGTATCTGGACCAAAGACTTATAAAAAAAATGACTGGAGAAAAACTGGAATTGAGAAAACTCCATCCATTAACTTTTCTTCTCTGCTAACTGAATAATGCAGTCATTATTTAGTATCACAGCTGAATGCTGACTCTGGAGAGCATGGCACTCCAGCATCCCACAGGATACATACAAAATTGAAATCTATGTGAGAAACACCAGATTAAAGGATAAGAAAGTCATTAGTAGCCTGAACTTGAGCCCTGACAATGGCTTCCAGTACAAAAGTAGGACTACGCAGAACCCAACCAAGACAAGCGGGGAACCCCACTAAGGCAAGGAGCAGCCTCGATCCCATCTCCTCTTCCTTCCTGGTCACCACACGTATGACAAATTCCATCAATTGTAGCTACCATCAGCTTTCTTCATTACGGGCGAGAGCAGTAGGCACCGAAGATGGGTACAGTTCACTAAAGGTAGATTTCTCAACCTTGAGAAATCCCATGATATTCTCTACTAAATGAAGCTGTCTTAATGATATTAGCAATTTTTAAAAATTTTATTTTTATTTTTTGAAAGGCAGAGTTAGACAGTGAGAGAAAGAGATAGAGAGAAAGGTCTTCCTTTTCCATTGGTTCACCCACCAAATGGCCACTATGGCCAGCGTGCTGCGCCGATCTGAAGCCAGGAGCAATTTGAAGCATTAACAACGTGGAGTTGGTAAACAGAAAGCTTTCCCCCTAAGTGCATGTGATGAAACAGAAGAAATGGGGAGGCTTTGAGGCTACACAGGACCTTGAGCTGTGAG